TCTCTGCCGAGTCAGACCTTCTAGCACTTCCAACCTCCCAGTGGTGTGCATTGCACTTATGATGTAAGTACACACTCATCCTCTCCTCCCTCCTGCCTCACACGCAGTGAATATTTAATTTTTTTTTTACTTTTTGCTTACATTTTATATCTTTGCCTCTCCCTCGAAAGAGTTAGAGGTATGCCCTTCAAAATGCTAACCACATCCCTAAGAGGTGGGTCCACCCCACCCCACCCCCGAATCCCTGGTAAACACTATCACAATTTGAGCACCATAATTTTTATCAGTCAGTACCATTTTGACGGCAAGTACATGTGGAACCCATTTTCCTAATCTTTTGTCAACTCACTTGGGATAATGGGCTTAAGCTTAATCCAGGATAGTCTAAGCAGTTCTAGCTCTCTGTCATTTCCTAGAATTGAGTAATATTCCATTGTAAATGTATACCAAAGTTTAATTATTCACTCATGAATTGATGGGCACTTGGGTTGTTTCCATATACTTACAATAGTGAATTGTGCTGTCATAAACATTCAAGTGCAGATGTCTTTATAACAGAATGTCTTATGCTCTTTGGAGTATATGTGACAAAGTCCAACACGCCTTTGTGATACATACTCTTAACAAAATAGACATAGGCTTCTCATACCTCAAATTGATCAAGTCCATTTATGACAAACCCATTGCCAATATAATTCTGAATGGGGAAAAATTGAAACCATTCCCTCTTTGAACTGGAACTAGACAAGGATGTTGACTATCTCCTCTTCTATTGAACATAGTGCTCAAAGTCCTAGCCATAGCAATCAGGCAAGAGTGAGGTATTAAGGGCATCCAAATGGGAGCAGATGAGATCAAACTATTGCTCTTCAGCAATGATATATTATACCCAGGCAACCCCATGTATTCATCCAAGAGACTCCAGGATTTGATAAATGAATTTGGAAAAGTTTCAGGTTACAAAATCAATATATACAAATCAGAAGCATTCATATATGCCAAGAACCATCAAGCAGAAACTCAAATCAAAAGCACAATACCTTTTACTATAGCCCCAAAGGAAATTAAGTATCTAGGAGTATATTTAATGAAAGATATGAAAGACTTATATAAGGAGAACTGTGAGACACTAAAGAAGGAAATTGTAGAACATGTAAACAGATGGAAAAATCTACCTTGTTCAGGAATTGGTAGAATCAATATTGTTAAAATGTCAATATTACCTAAAGTGATCTACAGAATTAATGCAATCCTCATCAAAGTACCACCATCGTGGTTTACTAATCTAGAAAAAATAATTCTTCACTTTCTATGGAACCAGAAAAACCTTCTATAGCCAAAGAATCTTTAGTAAAAAGAACAAACTTGGAGGCATCAGTCTTCCTGACATCAAGATGTACTATAAAGCAATAGTAGTTAAATCAGCCTGGCACTGGCACAAGAACAGAATCATCAATATTTGGAATACAACTGAGATTCCAGGGTTGAAACCATCTGTGTACAGTAACCTCATCTTTGATAAAGCAGACAAAAATATGCAATGACGAAAATACTCTCTCTTCAATAAATGGTGCTGGGAAAACTGGATAGCTACATGGACAAGATTGAATCAGGTTTCCTACCTCTCACCTCTCACAAAATATCCACTCAAGATGGACAACAGATTTAAACCTAAGGCATGCAACCTTAAGAATCCTAGAAGAAGATGTTCAGAAAAACCTATCAGACATAGGTATAGG